GATTTTCACAGGTCCATTGTGTTGAAGGGAAACTTTACATTTATTTAAACAAAACAAAACAAGTTGCAAATACATTTCTCACTTAGTCATATCAGAAAAAAAAAGAACTATTTTCAGCCTGTGAAAAACTGTCTTAAATTACATGTGATATGTAAATTTGTGAAGAAACCTTTTTAAAATATGGATAAAATGATGTAGGTTCATGTTATTTAGTAGAAGTTTCTATGAAACACAAATTGCCCAAGCTTATATTTTTGTTTTCATCTCAGTTTCTGAGTCACAGAGAAATAAAGGACACTTATTCAGGCCTGACTATAATATGATATAGTTTATATAAAGCTGTTTTCTATAGGTTGGACTAACATGTGAGGTTTGCGCTCCACAAAGAGATCCGACTATCATGGTCATTTGTCTGTTTTTCCAAGTGTCAGGCAATGAGAAAACCGTCCCACTTGAACACACCCCTTCTCCCATTTAACAAAACATGTAAAACTGAAGGAAATCAGTTTTTTGTCACAAATGCATCGGTGAGACTGAGTTGATCTTACTTTCTTGTGTGCAAAATTAGACTTGATGTTGGGAATTATAGTGAAATTGTGGCTCTTTTTATCCCAAGATTTTTTTTTTTTTTTAACCAGTGACAACTATAAAATTTGCATAGGTGTTACCATTTTTTCACAATTTACAAATTAAATTAACACAGAAATAAAAAAAAAGTCAAAATAACTTAAAAAAACCATTAGTTGCTGCACAGACAATATCAATAAGGATAATACTCTTCTTTCATGGGAGGTCATAGGTCAGAGCCATCTACAAACACACTAGAGCCACATAGAACAATGGAAGGACATTTAGCAAGGTGAACACCTAATTAACTTATTTAACATGCTACGCTGCTTCTATTTTTTACCAAAATGGATCAAAACCTCACAACAGACTGCGAATCCCCTGACACTTAAGGGAGACACTGGTTTTAACAGTTCTTGGAGGCGTTCTTAGAGCGTTTCCTCTTCCTGAGTGTAAATCATCTGCGTTGTTTAACTTGACCAAGCCCCACATGTGCAGAGGGCAAACAGTGAAGTCACAGTGTTTACTGTAGGACTCCACTTAAACACAGGAAACAATGGCAGTGTAGCACAGGACTCCAAGGTAACACTGTAGCACAGTGAGGAGCAGTAAATGAGCTGTCAACACGCTGATCATCCTGCCTGTCTGTGGAAATGTCAGTCACCTAAAACTAAACAGCCTGTCTGCACTCCGGCCAGATACCTAACTTCTTTTCAACCTAGATTATCACAAGTATTGAATTAGAGTCTACTTACTAGACTAATATAAAGCTCTCATGCATAGTTTAAAATCAGTACAGTCATTGCCAGGTGCTATCTGCCCTAAAATGATAGGTTATAAGAGCTACTTAACTAGTGCATGAGGAAATGCAGTCAGTAATCTAAAATATTTAGAAATAAAACAGCCGGGCATGACCCCACAATTACAGATAATCAAGGCCAAATTTACCTGGATATTTGCAAACAGAGTTTGGGCTCTTTTCTTTAGCTTTCCTGATCCAAATCTTATGTTGCACAGACTGTAAAAGCTTTTGAGGCTAATTTGTGATTTAACATGAATAACCTGTCTGTGCCAGATGCTGCCCGTGTGCCACAAGAGAAACACACAAACACCTGCCCGCTCACCCCTCACCTTTCTGGGCCAGATAGCTCATCTGATGCCGCCTGGTGTGCTTTTCCTGGAGCTCCTGGAGGAAGCTGGACCCGGTGTTACTGCGGCCCAAGAAAGCATCTGATCCGGATGCCTCGGTGGAGCTGTCCCAGCTGTCCACATTCCTCCTGCTGCCTCCGCAGTACGTCTCATAAAGCTCCACCAACAGATAGTCCACTATGGAAGTCCTCTGGGCTTTACCTCCATCTTCCTGGAATTCAGAGTCACTATCACCGGCCGTGTTGGTCCTTTGCGTGGCAGTAACGGTGGCAAGCAGAGCTCGGTGCTTGCTGGGGCCCTCCTGCTGTCTGGGAGGTGATGATGTGTCATTTGGTGATACGGCGGGGCTCGTCCACTGCTGAAAGCCGGAGAAATCATCCCGGAGGCAGGCGGCAGCGTTGACGCAAACGTCGCTCTGGTCTTGGGAGCGCACGCCGTCATCACATATGTCAACTTCCAAAAGTTCATTCCTGTTTAATTTGAGCGCCGATGCCATTTCTTCACTGGAACCAAACTCGCCAAAACCAAATCTCTGCTCCTAAAATTGTTTTTCTATGTGGGAGTTGCCATTTTCCTAAACAACATAACTACCTTTGGAAAGTTTTCTTTGAGCGTCTGGAGGAGGATGGAGTTCCTGGAGCATTCCATCCGTCTCCACAGACAGGTAGACAGCCGTCTGACTACTTTTAGTTTCCTTCCTGAAAGTTCCTGGATCGATTTCCTGTTCCCCCCGTAACGCCTGAACAATGGGCCAGTCCACTTTGCTAAACTTCTGAAAAGCTACCCAACTTCTTTAGGTCGCGCGTGAGGTGTAGCAGGTGCCTCGTGGGTTGACCAATTAGAGGAGGAACCAAAAATGTATTGACCAATCCGCTTTCACCAGTGAAGAAAACGCTAGGTAGTTAATCATCTATACATTTATATCAACTATTGCTAATAAAATTTAATATTGAATATAGAAAGTAGCATAACAATAATGAATTAAACATTACCTCTAGACTCAGGCACATTTTATAGGCTACTTTATATTTTGTTTTCAGTTTTATATCTTATTTCTTGTTCATGTATTGTATTTTTGCAATATTGCCCAATAATTTTTCAGTAAAAAAGTGTATATTATACTGGTTGGTTGTTTATAGTTCATCTTGAACATACTATGATATATGCTGGTTGCAATGGGAACACAAAGAATACAATAAAGCAACCCATTTTTCTGTGTAAAGTAATACATTAAAAAACTCAGAAAGAGCATAAGGTGTGAGACTTATTTAGATATTATCTATAGAACCTTGACATCTTTATTTTTTTGTAAAACCTGTTGACCAGTGTGGTTTAGTAGGTACTTTTCATATTTTATGATATATTCTTTAAGGAAATTTTGTTCAAAAGCTTGAGTAACAGTTGATATAGGGAAAACCATACTGTGGTCATTTTGACATTTTACTGTATGACTGTAGCCTATGACCATGGAAACTACTTGCAATGTTATGTTATTGCTTTACAATACTTAATCCCTACAAGTATAAAGTGTAGGTCTTGTTCTGAAGCAAACAAAGTACACTAAATCATGAGATAGTCTATCTGCTATGATGAGATTATATTCTTAGAATTGTGATTGAAATTTTAATTATGATATTATATACACAGAATACTACAATGCTGTAATAAAACATGACGCAAACAACAACAATACCCTCCATTAGACTTTAAAATAACAGTTATTTCCGCACAAAAGGCAGCATGGGGCTTCGCGTCTTCAAATCAGATGACTCGGGCTTCTGTAGCTCAGCACCACGTGACCAGTAAACAAGGAAGTGTCTCAGAAATAAGGTTCTACTCAGCCTGTCTCTCGTTTTCAATCAGATAGACCTCAGTAGCAACACTTCACTAACGTTATAAGACAGGGAGCTGAGGGAAGGGACGGACAGCTTCGGTAGTTTATGACTGAAGTATGAAAATGGGCTCAAATCGCTCCTTTCTGCCGAAGTTATGGAGTTGTCTCCTAATCTGCGTCACTTTGTGGAGCAACCTGAGTAGCGGTGTGTTGGCCAAATTATATCGGAGACCCAACATAGTTTTAATCCTCACCGACGACTTGGACATCGCTATTGGAGGCCTGGTTCGTGAGTTGTATTATTTTAGCTTTATTTAAGTCTTATGCATCGTATTACCTAAAGCATATCTGAGAGTCGTGCAACACATTTTGTAGTACCGTCAAGGGAAAACGAACTTTTGGTCGTAACATGATGTAGTCTGGGCTAATCAAGCTGACAGCTCACATTCCTGGTTGGACTCATTATTTAGACATCTCACAGAGTTAGCAGTCTTATCATTTTTCTCTAGTAAACACGCTTACTGCAGAATTTACCCAGTTACATCCAGTAACACGGTTATTTAAAGGCGTGATTCGAGATACAAACGTGAACACGGTGGTAGCCTATAGCTGAGTTTGAATACCAAAAAAGACACACATTGACTCCAAAATAAACAAACTCAGCACCAACCAACCATTACCTTTTGTTACAGGACAAGGGCCAATACCTTAATGAATCGGTGTAGGTTGTGTGCTAAAATATAAAGTCTTAAAATGCATTTAAATTTTGTCACTGCACCAAATCTGTTTCTTTCAGAATCCAATGAACAAGACGAAAAAACTAATTGGAGATGCAGGGATATCATTCACAAATGCAGTAAGTGTCATATACACTGTTTTCACTCTTTGTTACGTCTTATCAAGAACCATTTAGTGGTTGAGAAAAGCCTTTATTTTTCTTTTTTCTTTTACCTCCCTCAGTTTGTTGCCAGCCCTCTGTGCTGCCCTAGTCGAGCTAGCATCCTGACAGGGAGGTACCCCCACAACCACCACGTCATCAACAACACCTTAGAGGGAAACTGCAGCAGCAAAGCCTGGCAGAAGAGCGATGAAGCCCACACCTTCCCCACTTTGCTTCAGAGCATCGCTGGCTACCAGACCTTCTTTGCTGGGAAATACCTCAACCAGGTAAGGAGCGACAGGACTACTTCTGACTGCAACATGTTGTTTTCTTTTTTTTTTTTCCTGGTGGGGAAACTCCTTAAATAAGCATTATCTGTAACAAAAAGAATAGCTACAGATATACAAATGTAGTCCTCTTTGTCTTCTAATTAGTCAATTAGCAGTTATCTGAAGTATGAAGGGTGCTGAAAATAATTTCCCTTCATGCTTTGGTTATGTTGACATCAGCTAATTGCACATAAAAGGAGCCTGCCTTCTTGTTGTTCAGGAAGCCACTCCTAATGTGTTTACCAGTGTGCAGAGCCATTCAGCTGTTGTCTAAAACAGGGGAGTGATGAAGCAGCAGTGTTTGCACTGCAGTATATCTGTGATCCAGTGCAGTCCTACACTGTATGTGGTTCATATTAGGGCTTTACAACAGCTTTGTTTTACAAGTCACTAACTTTTGTAAGCCTGTTGTCATCATTGCTTTAAACAGTACATGGGAATGAAACCATTCTGTGTCTGTTTTCATCCTGATACATTCAGATCAAGCTGGAATTTAACCATCAGGTGACTGTTAAAGTGAAAGAAGTCACAAGATGTTCTGTCATGAGATTTAATGCCATGATAAAGTCCAGCTGGATATACCCTTGTGATTAACAGATGGTCAAATGGGGAACCAGGACATCTGTTCTTCAGTATGTTTAAAGGGTCACTTCAACTAAATGACGAAAAATACCACTTAACCCTGTTTTTCCACTTTCTTCTTTCCCTCCTCCCTCCCTGCATGTATATGTACCGTCTATCAACCTGTGGTAAAACACCGCAAATACAAACTGTGCTCCCTTCAAAAAGAACCGTGTGCTCGGTGGTAACAGACATTCTTTTGTTTCCATTACCTGTTGCTGTTCATATTTGGAGAAGTGCAAATATTGCACTTAAATTTTAGTTGGAGGTTTGTAAAAAAAAAGAGAGAGAAATATGTATAACTTTAATACAATGTTTTATTTTTATTACAATTGAATTTTTCATTAAAGAAAGGTTACAACAGTGTTGGTCTATGCTGGCAATTACAGTTCTTAGAAAGTAAGAAAATCTGAATCAGCAGGTCAGACAAAAAAAAAATTTGAAATCAGAATTGGCCCACAAAATTACAATAGGTGCGTCTCTGTTGTCTAATAGGTTTGTTGTATGACCAAATACCTCTAAACGTTACGGTATTTCCATCAGACTTAAACTTGAAATCTTGTTGTTGTTTTTTTTTGTTTGTTTTTTTTAAGAGCAGTGTTGACATTTGAATAAAGGCTAAATGTTTTAAGGTCTGTTTGCTGCAGGAGTTACATTTACTTCTTTTCACTTAAAGAAATCAACAAAATTTTCCAAAA